ACTAAAATTGGGCTCACCCTTGGGGTTGGGCTTTGGGGTGTATTAATTATTTGGTAATTAATATATAATTAATTATAATTAATATATAATTAATATATATAATTAATATATAATTATAATTATAATTAATATATTATTTTCGGAATTAATTAATTATTTTTAATTTCGAATTTAAATTAATTAATTATTTATTTTTTCCAACAGACTCATCTTTTCAGATGAAGTCTGAAGTGTGAAAACGCAGAAACAAAACACCCATTTCAGCAGATGTCTCCCAACAGTTGCATCCCTTCCTTATACCTGTTGCGAACAGGTACAATCACATTATATATACATCCATCTGCATGGCATTTACAATATAGAAAAATCATAAATCTCCTCCTGCAATCTTAAACATCCTTACTGAGAGAACCACATTAATATTCGCCAGAAGTCTATTTTCCGGTGCTGGAATTTCTGACTTAGATCGTTGAATCCTGGTGGAACAGACGTCCGTAGAACTACAAGCACAGAGTAGGGACGAAATTTCTGTTTCAAGGACATTGCGGTACGCAAGCCTCGATCTTCAAGTTGTCTGTTTTATAATTCATATTCTAGTTTATATTTTGTTAGTTTCTATTGCATTTATTATTTATTAGCATATATAAATTATCACAGATTGTTGACTTAACTCCAACATTCCTTTCCATTGCAGGAAAGCAACGAAACACCGCTGTAAATGACAACTTATGACAAATATCCAGTTTTATATTTTTATACGCTTACTGGACATAAGTTAACATTATAATAATAGAAATTAATTTTTTTGGTGCCCTCGTTTTTTTGAGGCCTGTGTGGTCGCCCTTGCTGCCCTAGGCTAGGGCTGGGCCTGGATAAAAGTTGAAAATGTGAGTTTTTAACTCGGCTTCCACCACTCTTCTCAAACCAGATCGAAAATGGCAGACCAAGATTCAAGAACCTCGAGAGGCTAACGAAGGTATATAATTGGCAATCAAATCTCCAGATCGAAAATGGTAGACCAAGAAAAAGAGATGGATACTTAAATATAGTCCAAACTTGTCACTTGGTGGCTGACTTTATGAAGCAAATATAAACACATGGTGAATAGGAAGCCACATTCACATTGTCGACAGCAACTTGTTTGCGTTAGTGGCCAAAATTGGTAAAAATCGAATCGGCCACCAAACAGTACTCTCTCTCTTTCTACGATTCCAACATTTCAACCTCACTGCAACTCAATCCACGCCATCAATCTTCAATCACAAATTCATAGCCTAATTCTCGAAGGTACCTTCTCAAATTCCAATTCATTTATAGGGTTTTAATTCCAATTAATTTGAGGATCAAGATTCCCCATCCAATTTTTTAAATTTTCTTTTAGACATTGTGATTGGAGTTAAAATTCGAAGCTCATGGTGCGGATAAAGCCCCTGGCGCTGTTAATTCAGAGCAAGAAGAAGTGCCTGACTCAAATCAATACCACTACCATTCTTATGTGCAATTTAATCATCGCTCTAGTCGCCTTGTCGTTATTAGCTACTTATCGCTATCGAAGACGGGTTGAACTGATTCTGAAAAAATGATCGAAGACGGGTTGAACTAATTCTGAAAAATGATCGATGACTGATTGAACTGATTTTACAAAATTAGTCGAAGGCGAGTTGGACTGATTCTACAAAAATGATCAAAGACGGTTGAACTAATTATGCAAAAATGGTCGAGGACGAGTTGAATTGATTATACAAAAATGGTCGAAGACAAATTGAACTCATTTTGCAAATATAGTTTATGACTAGTTGAACTAATTCTTCAAAAATGGTCGAAGACGGGTTGAATTGATTTTGAAAAGACGGGTTGAATTGATTTTGAAAAAATAGTCGAAGAAGAGTTGGATTGATTCTGTAAAAATGGTCGAAGACAGGTTGAACTGATTCTGCAAAAATGGTTGAAGAGAGGTTGAACTGATTCTGCAAAATGGTCGAGAACGGGTTAAACTGATTCTGCAAAAATAATCGAATATGGGTTAAGCTTATGGCACATATTAATTTTGTTGGAGTTGTGAGCGCTAGGTTCTATTAACAGCCTTAAAGTCTTAGGGGTATGACTGATATTTTAAAACGTTTTCATGTTTTCCTATTTTTGGGTTGTGTTTTAGTTGTTTTTATGTTTCTGTCTTTTCTTGACATGTTTAAATACTAGTAGAGTTTCTTGAAATATAATGAAAGTTTTTGTCTTTATATATAAAGCTCCATTTTTCAAAATGGGTGTAAGAATAAATTTATATATTGAATTATGTTTGTGAGGATAGTTTTTTTGTTTTTTTGTTTTATTTATTTATTTATTTTGGGACAAACAAGGGACAAAGTTTGTGAGGATATTTTAGGTAGTGCATTTGGATTTAAAGAAATATCGATAGTTTAATTAAAAATAATATGAGTATAAAAAGTAAAATGGTGTAGAAAGAAGTTATGTGAGTTCAAATAAATTTTCCTTATTAATATATGACTTTGTAGCATTTAAGAGATCTTTCAATTTCTCGGGAGCACGGCCCGGTACACCAAGAATGAAATAATATAAGTGGTTGGATATTTGAAAATAAAAATTTCTTCACTACGTAATAGTATAACACTTAATGTACTGTGCTGACAGTGAAAAATTTCTGGTAGCCTTCTACCTACGTGGACTAACGTGCATTTTTTTTCTTTTTCGAACGAGAACTTAAACAAAAAGCTCCCAATACTGTTCACTTTAACGAAAAACCACATTTTTACACTAAAACGTCAATTCTGGTACTATTCACTTTACCTTTTATTTTGTTCTTATCGTTAAAACTCAAAGTTTTCAAGTTTTTTTCATTAGTTTTCATTTATCGACCATTGAGGGCCTAAGTGCCAAAATGCAAGTATATCCTCACACTCTTCAGTTTGAACTATCAATTGAATGGCATAAATCAACGAAAAATAAAGCGGCAGAAACGACATCAGAATCTTCCTAAAATTAAAGGTAAATTGCGATTTAACCCCTTGAACTATCACTCTAGTTGAAATTGACCCCTTAAACTATTTTTTTGGTACTTCAACCCCTTGAACATTTAAAATCAATTCCGTCAAATTCAATGGCAAATTAGTCATTCATCATTAATTGTTACTTGTCAGTTATAACCACCAATAAAATTTTAACATATGGACACAAAATAATTTAAAAATATAAAGCATAATGAGTAAACATAAACAACCAAACGTTTACATAACGGACCATTTCACATTATTTTGTTTTGTCGTGTCATAATTACATTGTTGGTTATAGTTGACAATAAGAATTGATGAAGGAAAGACTAATTTTCTTTTGAATTTGACGAAATAATGGATGGAATCTACCGACAAAGGGTTAACTGACTTATTTCAAATAGTTCAGGGTGTCAAATCAACTAGAGTAATAGTGCAAGGGGTCAAATGGAAGTTTACCCTAAAACTAAGGCCATCTCTAATCGAAGGGTCCAGAGGGCTAGAAGACCGAAAATAGCCCGAAAACCGTCTCCAACTGAGGGCTAGGCCAGAGGGCTGTGGAATCTGAGAGGGCCCCACGGAATCTGAGAGGGCTGGCCAGAAAAATGATTTTTCCTGTCGGTTATAATCGACAGGAATGCTTAAGAAAAAAATTCAAATGCAACGGCTAACTGACGTTAGCTAGCCATTGCATTTGAATTTTTTTTACAGTTTTATTATTATTTTTTATTTAAAATTTTTTTCTATAACTTCTATTTTTCATATTTTTTTTTAAATTCTATTTTTTTCCGATAACTTTAATTTTACAAAATTTGTTTCATATATTTTTTTTAAATTCTATTTTTTCCTATAACTTCTATTTCATAAAATTTGTTTTATTTTATTTTAAATTCTATTTTTTTCCTATAACTTCTATTTTACAAAATTTGTTTCATATTTTTTTTTAAATTATATTTTTTTTCAGCTAGCCGTTGCATTTGAATTTTTTTTTACAATTTTATTATTATTTTTTATTCAAATTTTTTTTCCTATAACTTCTATTTGTCATATTTTTTTTTTTAAATTCTACTTTTTTCCTATAACTTTTATTTTACAAAATTTGTTTCATATTTGTTTTTAAATTTCATTTTTTCCTATAACTTCTATTTCACAAAATTTGTTTTATTTTATTTTAAATTCTATAACTTCTTTTTCACAAAATTTGTTTCGTATTTTTTTTTAAATTATATTTTTTTCCTATAACTTCTATTTTACAAAATTTGTTTCATATTTTTTTTTTAAATTATATTTTTTTCCTTTAACTTCCTAAGCCATTATACAACATTAAATTAAATTAAGTAACATGAAACAACATTAAACAATATGAAACAACATTAAATAATATTAACCAACATACAAATTATACAACATAAAAAAAAAACATTTAAAAACATGAAACTTAAACAACATTTTTAAAAACATTTAACAACATAAAACTTAAACGTCTTCTCCATGCTTCTTAAGCCCAAAGATGTGCAACAAAATCCTGTTGTAGGTACTTTTTTAAATTTAATTTGTAGTTTTTAAATTTAATTCGTCGTTTTGAAATTTAAGTTGTAGTTTTTAAATATAAGTTTTATTTTTTGAATTTAAGTTGTTGTAGTTTTTAAATTTAAATAATAAATTATGTTTGGCCCTTTGACCCTCGGTTGGAGACGGAAGCAAATATAACTTTGTACCGTTTATTAAAATATTAATATTTTGAAAGACCAGAGGGCTAAAACGAATCATCTGACCAGCCATCAATTGGAGATGGCTTAAGGGACTAAATAAGTACTTAATCCCAAATACAATGCCCAAGTTAAAACCGATAAGTCAATGAAGGTAATTCTTAAAACTGACAGCACCTTCATTTCAACGAAACACTGTTAAACCACACCCTTCAGATCACATCTAACATCCAAGATCTTATCTTTGCTACATATCCTACGGTCAATAACTCTTCGTCGTTTCTATTGCTGTCAACCTATCTTTTCTGCTACTCCTTCGGGATCCAGGTCCTAGTGGCTACGGTAGCATCAAAATTCTCTACCCAAGTACAATATCCTCAAAACCCTAACTTAAGTCCCCAATTTCCCAAAACCCTAAATTCCCCTCTCCTCAAATTCTTTCTCAATTAGGGTTTTCTCTGTCTAGAAACTCGTTTGTGGGCATGGAGATGGACAGCCTCTGCTCGAACGGCTTCGTTTTGGACAGTTTTCTCTGCTCTGTGGTGCAGGCTGTGGTGGCTGAGGCAACCATTGCTGCTGCTGCCAAGTCTCTTGCTTTGTCCTGCTTTATGGTATATTTTCTCTGACTTCACAACTAATTTTGCCTCAATTTTGTGGTCTGAATTGTTTTTAATTAACAATTTTATGTTATTTGCTTAGTTTAGTTGTGTTTGGTTTAGTGCATTGGGGTTTCTCTAGGTAATTTGGGGGTTTTATTTTATCTTATTTTTTAGCTTCAAGAACTATGACGTTCTTCCGTATTTTATATATTTTGTTTTTACTTTTGCTAATATGTTTGTGATGATTTTTTTTTTTTGCTCCCTGTGGTTTTCATAGTTTTTACTCTACTTAGGACTATGTGAATTTGTTGAGATGCTTGTCGGTTTCCCCTTTTTTTTCTTTTTTTTTTTAAATTTTATTTTTTATTACTGTTCGGAATCTTGTACTATACTTTTTTCTCATACATTTTTACAATTGTAAGATTTCTGATGTGCTGTTGTTTTAACTAGTGTTTTTGTCGTTTGTTGAGTATTTTCGTACTGATTCAAACTTGATGTGTGCGGCTATAAAGTATAAACTTGAAAGATGAAAACAAAGAGATTGGAAGAGAGGATTTTTTGTTTAGTTATGTCTGATGTATAGAATTTGAATGCGTTTCCCTAGATCCTGACTTGGTCAGTTTAAATTGTTATTACTTGGAAGTAGACTGAATATAATCAACTTGGGGTTCAATTATATGATGGCCTGACCACTTTTACTTTACGATGTCCTCCAGATGAGATACTTCCTGTGCCATAATGATGATGTGTTTCAGGGTTTTTTGGTTGGCGCATGGTTCTTCTTGAACTAGAGTATATTTCTGCTTTAATATTGTTCTTATAAGGTGGAATATGTCGCAGGGACATAGAAAAATGCAGTCTACAACTCAATTTGTCCTCATGGAGGGGAGGAAAAGGATTGTCATTTGCCTTATGTTGGCTTACAATTATAGGACTAGTTTTTATTTTATTTTTTATTTTATCAAAATTTAACCGGATTGTTCTAGTGGAGGGGAACACTCAAATTTACCTTTCTAGGCCGTAGGTCACGGTCTTGAACAGATAGAGTTGTTGGGGTAGGTTTTAGTTTCCTTCGCTTTTCACGCTGGTGTAAATTGAAATATGAAAGCCTGTGTTATTGGCTTGAGGCATCCTTTATTTCTTCTCTTATCTGAAAATGAAAGTATCAATGATATTTCCATTAATGTATAAAAGTCCAACTCTTCAGACCGGGTAAAATAAGCTATCTTAGTGACCATTTAAGCTAAGTTGATTCTGACCCTGTGTGTCTGTGTAGCATGACTTATCATGAAGCTGCACTGTCGTAATCTAGTTTTGACTTATTGGCTTATTGCTCTTTTTGCTGCTGAGTTGAACCTTTTCAACTTGGTAAGTAAATACTGCTTATTTTAACTTGTATCTCCATTCACACTCTGGTTTTTTCAGATGGGGTCTATGCCAAACACAATCAATGTTTTTCCCAAAAAACCTGAGGCTGTCACAGAGTTAGTGTTCTGACTTAAAATGTCCACCATTTTATCTTTTATTCTTTTGAAGGGGATTTCTGAGGCCAAAATTTCTATGCAGGTTTCGTATTACTGAGCTTTATGTAGTGGGAAAACCTGGTCCTGAGAACACAGATGCAAGTGAAACCGAGGACGAGGATGATGATGATGATGATGCTGGTGATGACCAGGATGAAGATGGTGGCGACGAGGATGATGCCTCTGGGGAAGAGAAGGACGGTAAAGAAAATCCAGAAGACGAGCCCAAGGCGAATGGTGATGGTGTAAGTGAAGAGGATGAGGATGATGATAAAGAAGATGAGGAGGACGATGATGATGATGACGACGACAACGATGATGGTGATGATGGGGAGGAAGAAACTGAAGACGAAGAAGAAGAGGACGAGGAAGACGAGGAGGAAGACCTTCCTCAGCCACCTGCTAAGAGGAGGAAATGAATTTTTTCTCATTGTTCTTTAAACTTGCCGCCTTTTTCTGGTTATCAGGAATTTGGGGTTGTAGGAGTTGAGTAAAATTTAGGTGGCATGTCCACATATGGTAGAAATGTTCACAGTACTTGTTAAGCTATCAGATTTCTTAGTTCTACACCTTTAATACTTCTCTCTCTCTCTCTCTCTCTCTCTCTCTCTCTCTCTCTCTCTCTCTCTCTCTCTCTCTCTCTCTCTCTCTCTCTATGGATGAGAATTACAACGGTGTTTGTGAAGTGATTTGTGCGCACTCTTATCTCTTATGCTCGTTTGTTTATGACTTTTGGACAAAGGGCGAATTAGAGGACAATAGTAGACAGAGATGGGCAGGAACCATTTTCCGACGTCCGTTTCATAAATGGATTATTTATTTCTACATGTATTTTATTTGAAACGAAAAGCATCAAAACCTGTAGGGCCTCCCCCTCAATTAGTTCTCAACAACCACGACTAACAGTAAAAGATTAGGCAGCAGAAGCACGGGAGGATCCCAAGATTATGCGGCTTCGAGCACATTTGCAGTTGTTCGTTACAACAATGTTCCATTCCGGCTTGCCTCCTGCCTCTCGCCCGCTCCGGTAAGTGCCGATGTTGGGGTTGTCCAAAGAGCAATCAAATAACCGTACAAATTGAATCAACCAAATAATTGAAAATAAAAAAAAGAAAAAAAAAGGAAAGACTAATGAAAAGTCCTTAAAAACTTCCATTTAACCATTTGGACAAAAGTTTTCAAAAATACATATACTGTCCTTCAAGGTATTCAGACAGTTTGGTTCCTTATAAAGATATCTGGCATAAATAAATACAGAAGTGATTGCAGCAAGATAGTTTTTAAACACCCTTCATTTATTGGTAAATATAAAAACACAGAAATACAACATAACGTATTAGAAGCAAAAAGTGCAACAGATCTATTTTAGAGACCTTGAGAGAAGAAAGAGAGTTTTTAAGAAATCAATTAGCCATAACCTTAGAAAAATATAGACTGTAGTTTATGATAGATTATCTTAATTTAGAAATTAGTGAACAGAAAAAAAAAATAAAAAATCACCCTAGACCAAAATAGCTTAATTTGTTATTTTCCATTAAGAAAGCATAATCATATTTTATATAGTGAAGAAAATCCACAAACAAATAGTACTGTAGATCTTATTATTAATCAAGTAGAAACTATAAAACTAGAAAATAATAAGCATAATTATTTATTAGACTAGCTGTTAGAATATTTTAGAAAAATTGCATAAAAACTATTAAGCAAAATTTAGATTATAGTACATCTCAATTTAGAAGATAATAATAAAAATATTTTAAAGGTTTCTTAACAAAAGAGAAATAAAAGAACTTATTAATATTATAAATAGTAAGCCTAATCAAGTAGAACTTAGATCACTAAAAAATTGTTGAACAATTAAAATTAGAAGTACAAAAAATTCAAGTAGCAGAAAAATATTTGAGTGAACAAGTAAATAAGTTACATAATAAAATAGATAGATTATTAATTTAATGACCGATTCTAGAACTAATTGGAAATATATTCAAGCTTTGAAAGAAATTAGTTAGTTAGATAAAGAACTAGTATGTTTAACAAACTTTTCGACGCAAGTAGCCAGTAGTAATATCCCTATTAGACAAAATAATTTAATTATCCAATTAGTTTTAAATTTAGCTGAAAAATTAAATCAAATTAAAGAACAAATAATAGAAGTTAATCATAGCACATCTTTTTCACTTCCACCATCTTTGTTACAAAAGCTAGAAAATTTAATTTCAAGTACAAATAATCACATTAGAAGATCTAAGATAAACCCTTTTGATAACAAAAAATAAAACTCTTTAGATGAAAAAGAAAAGAAATAGTTAGAGCTAAAGATATTTATCTAAATGTAGAAGAAGCACATGAGAGAAAAAGAGAGTTATCATCAGGCCTAACATTATCACAATGAAGTAATTGTACTGATAAAGAAGTTACACTTAATTTACTTAGTAAAGAAGCAGTTCATCAATTCAGAAAATCACACTTTAACCAAATTCATATATGAACAATCAAGTATCAAATCTATAATGTCACATAGATATTGATTACTATTAGATTTAAATCTACAAAAAAAAATTTTGAAAGGAGATAATTTTTCAAAAAAGACCTAAATAGAAAAGGAAATTTTTAAATTTAATTATTTCCATTGGGAGAAAGTCCACAAATCTGAGCGAAAATACCACAATAAATCAAGCCCACTCAGTATTTTAGAATTTCAAAAATTTAGTTTAAACATTTGGTGTTAAGATGATAGAAGCCCTTAAATATTTTTAGAAATTCAGTCGACATCACCTATTTACAGTAGCAAGAAATAGAGATAGTAATAATGAAATAGGTGAATCAACAATTATAGTAATTATAAGCAATTATAATATAGAAATGAGAAAGGGAAAAGTAAGTTTTATAATAGATACTAAAATTGATCACTAGGATGAAGAAATGTAAAAATAAAGAATTTAGAATTATGTTCAATAGAAAAAAACATCCCACATAATTTAATTAAATTACTAGCTCAAATAACTTTAGTTACATCTAAATTGTATAATAGAAGTAAATGGTATAATTTGCAATTTTCAGGTTTTTCAAAAGATGACTAATTGTCTTAAACAATATTCTAAATACGTATTCCAAAGCTTTAGTAAGACTAGAACTAGAGTAAAAATTTTTGAACAACAGTTAGTAGTCTTGATAAAGAGCAGGCTTGAGAAGCTACAAAACAACGTGAAGAGCAGATCAAATTTAAGCATTAATGATTTGCCACTAATGGTATATTAAAACTTTTCTTGTTAGAATTTAAACTAAAGTAAGAATATCACAAAAAAGAAGCAGATAGCCAGGTTTTATTCCCTATTAGAATCAAAATAAATTGGTCCACATTAGCCCTTGAGTGTTTTTTGTATTAAATGTTTATTTTTCCAATATTAACCTCCACTCATAAAAAAATTTGTTACTTGTTTAAAAAAACAGTTACATGATATTGTAAAATTAAAGCTTTCAAAAACATACATTAATATACATAAAACATCTGGTATAAAACCAAAACCTTTATGTACACAAATTTGAAAATTTTTAACCAAAAAAAAATGTTATGAAGATTATCTATGATGTTTGAATTCTGCTTAAAAATTGTTTTTTTAAAATATATAAATCACACACTTGGATATTGTTTACAACAAATTATTACTATAAAAATAAAACTAAAATAACAACCAAACAAAATTTAATTCGTAAAAATTTTTGCCAAGTAGAGTAACATCAAAAAACAAAAATGCAACATTAATTTTATAACAAGAAAGGAACAAAAACCATGAAAAAATTATATGCTATGATTTTAAATACTATAAAACATTAACACGTGACACATCTTTTTTCAATTTAGTCAAATAATAAACTTACTAATTCAGTTTGAGGCAAATTTTAGACAATTGAATAATACTGAAATTTGGAAAAAAACACATAAGTTTAAAAACATGAAGTGAATGTTTTTCACTAAATAAGTTATAGTTGAGTTTTTTTTTTAGTAATTTGTCAAAAATAAATTAAACATATTTTTCCAATCATTTGAAGAAAAATTCGTAAAATAGATGCGTTCATTCTAATAAATTTTCACATGCATTTACTAACCTTTAATCAAACTTATATCCTTTGAAATACGATCTATTCTGAACGTTTTTCTTCAACAACTTACCAAAATTTATAATTTATAATTTCGTATGGAAACTCAAATTGACTAAATTAAGGGTGTTTTTTGTCCATTAGCCCTGCTTTATATTAAATTTTTAATGGAAATTTGCTAAAAAATCGCTTTGTTGAATTGCAAACCAATTACTATTCTTTGTCCTTAAATTCAAAAAAAAAATAAGCATAATTTTTAATTTCGAAAACGTATATAATATGTCACATTTATTCTGTTAATTTTTGGTGCCCCAATTTATTTGGCCCCTGTCCCCCTGCCCACTTCTGGCATTCGTCTGCCCTTTAAAAATGATGAACACGCTTAGATACAAAAAAAAAAACCTCACATTCTTCTTTAACCAATTTTATTGTTTGTTAACAGTAAAAATAAAAATAAAACTATAAAAATATGCACATGCACCTAAGATGTGAAGTGTGAGGTGTACGTAGAAAATATGGGGTGTATATTAAGAGTGTAGGGTGTGAGGGTATAATGGGAAACTACGTGGGGTGCATTAAGATAAACTTTGAATAGAAAAGCAAATGTAGGGTGTATCCAACAATATATGAGGTGTTAATAAAACAAGCAAAAAATTAATTTTAAAAATAGAAGTAGAACATATTTTAGGATCAAAAGAATACAATAATTTACTAGAAGTAAAAATAGAATGTAATCCACCAGAAGAAAGTAGTATATCAGGAGTAGAAAATAATCCAAGCTACACAGCTAGAACAGATCAACAATTCTTATGACAAACAAATGAACAATATAATGAGCAAGCATGAGTAGATTATATAGATGAAAAAAATGATGAGATCACCTAGAAAAAATAGGATACCAAACTTGAGAGGGTTATAACAAATTAATATAGTAGGTAATATGTTTAACTTAGATAATGTAGATCCACACAATTGAGAGAAAACAATTGAAAGATGGAAAAAAGGTTGAGTACATGCAACATTAATGTTATATTTTAGTAATTCACAAAATATGTTAGATTATTTTGAGCATACTTTAGATGGTTTAGATTTTTATTATTTTCAATCATGGAAAATTCAAAATCCAGAACATCATTAGGTAGTTAAAACACATTTTAATATGGATGGTTTTATTACTTTAATCAAACAAGAATTTTTAGATCATAATAGATTAGATGACAGAAGTGAACAAGAACAAATAAGAGCTATTAGAAATTTAGAACAATTACAAATTTTGATTTACAGTACATAGCTGAATATTACTCAGATTTCTTTAAATATTTAGGAAGAATAGGTAGAATGAGTGATATTAATTTATTAGATACTTATATGATAAAAATAAAAGGATCAACAAGAGAAAAGATTTGGAATGAATGACAAAAGCATCCAAAGAAAAATGATATTGCAATAGGACCTAGAATTCAACATGTATATGATATACTTAGACAAGA